CCTTTCACTACTCTATTATCCTATGTCCGTTTAGTTAGTTTTGAAGGGAGAGAGACTTTTATAATTTAACTCCTGCCTGTTATTTACAGGCATTACAATTTTCATTTATACTCTATCCCTATATCTCCAACATTGAATTAGTTGCTTGGTTACAAACCTGAATGTCATGAGCATTCATCTAACAAGAGTATTTCCTGGTAAAGTTTACATTTCGGACCATTTTCAATAAAGCTCTTTTATCATTTCTATACCAGTATAGTTTGGTGCAGCTCATTTTTTGATTTTCTCTATTCAGACATAGGAGTTAACCTTACTAGGTTTTGGGTATATCTACTTTGTATCACTTAATTGCAGGATCACTCACTAGTACCTATTCCGCTACACGTTTCGACCTTGATACATGTATTATGTATAGCTTCTACTATTATTTCCATGCTGTATATTAGTTTCAGTTCATGTGAACCTTTGTACATATACGTGCTCTGTTTTTTTAACTTGCTTGGGGTTAAGCCCTTAGAGACCCATGTAGTCTCTCATTGGTGTAAAGGATAATTGGAATAGCTTAGACACAAATACTTAGTACTGTGTCTTATGCTATTTCCATTATTTATCCTGTCTTGTGTATATTTGGTATAATAATAATATTATAAAGCGGTTGACTTACTTCCCCAACCAAAGGGAAATGGAACGCCCTTCCCCTCTCTGTTAGAATTTCACCCAGTCTCCACTCCTTAAAAAAATCTTTGAAAAAGTACTTCTTTAGGAAAGCATATCAATTAAACTGTGAACAGCTTTCTCTCCCCGCACCCTGATTCCTATACAGCAACTGTCATCAAAACAACACTAAGCCCTCAATGAACACTATCGTAGCAATGTACTTTTCTACCCTACTCTTACATTTTGTGTCAATATGCCCCACATCCTCTAGCATGTAAGCTCATTGAGCAGGGCCCTCAATCCCTCTGTTCCTGTGTGTGCTCGTCTGCTTACACATACATGTCAGTTAGTCCACCCATTGTACAGCGCTGCTGAACTTGTTGGTGCTTTATAAATATTAATACAAAGAAACTAGTCCTGTGCTCAAACTCCCATTACTCCTGGGCGGCAGCAATGACTATAGTACACATCAGCCAAAATACATATAGTAAAAACCAAAGGAAAAAATTTACCTGCGCTCTTTCCACATCCCTATGTATTTTTAAACAAATTGAGGTTTTTAGTTACCTCGAATGGCCATGAGAGGGTGTGCCCACCTGCCACATCAAGGCAGACCTCTCAGGTGGGTCCTAACGCTAACCATTCACCTTGCTTCCTTGAGCTTCTGGCAAAAATATCTCTAATGAGACAGAAAGGGGTATTTTCTATATACATCCCTACATGCTTATTAACCCTTACTAGGGAACACTTGGGATGGGCAGCAGCATTGCAACCTAGCTGTGTGATACAAAAGTGAATACAAATACAAAGAAACAAGTCCTGCGCTCATACTCCCATCACTCCTGGGCGGCAGCAATGACCATAGTACACATCAGCCAAAATACATATAGTAAAAACCATAGAAAAAGAGTTACCTGCGCTCATTCCACATCCCTATGTATTTTTAAACAAATTGAGGTTTTTAGTTACCTCCAATGGCCATGAGAGGGTAAGCCCACCTGCCACATCAAAGCAAACCTCTCAGGTGGGTCCTAATGCTAACCATTCACCTTGCTTCCTTGAGCTTCTGGCAAAAATATCTCTAATGAGACAGAAAGGGGTATTTATAAATATTATTAATAATAATAATAATAATGCAAAATATGTGTCATACTGTCAAGTTATAAAATTAAATCCCTTTGTTTATGCAGCCCTAGTGACACCTACCTGCATGTGACTTACGTTATATAAGAGAGTTATCTCCCCATATGCAGCAGTCTTTTTTCCGGTCCTCCAGCTTTTACGCAGCAATACACTTTTTATTTTACAGTTTGCCTGCCATTAGTTTTTAATTATGGCACCTCTAGGGAGCTCAGCCTCTCTCCCCAGGGAAAAACCCAGGTACAGCCCAAGCAGTTTGGCACTCCCTGGGTTACAATTACTATGTTAGTTCATAGTTATTGAAGATATTTGATCTCTCTGGATTGAAATTTAATGAATTGAGCTCTATTTGAGGTGGTAGGCATCTATGGAGTGTATGAATATAGATCCGATGGCAACCTTCAGAAACAAGCAACTCCCTTTGTATTTTGAAGGAGATTCAACCTACGAGCAAAAGGTCAATATGCGCTAACAAAAAAATGGACATTTCGGCTGGGCTATGTATTCAGAGAACCTCCCGCTAAATCAGAGAACACTCAAGAAAATCTAGAAGGAGAGAGTAGAGGTTATAGCGATTCTTCCTCATTGGCCAAGGAGACCTTGGTTCCTGCTACTTCTGAGCATGACACTAGAAGAACCATTGGAACTACCAATCCAGAGGAATTTCTTGTCACGATCCTGCCAAGTTTAATTTGAAGGCTTGGAGATTGAAAAGAATGTCCTAAAAGCTAAAGGAATTGCAGAGAGTGTTAAATACTATTGTTCAAGCAAAAAAACCTAACACATCCAAAGTGTACTATAGGATTTGAAGAACATATGTGGAATGGACAGCTTCCCTAGGTAAAGATTTTTACAAAAGGGACTAGAAAAAGGATTGAGTCTTAGCTCCCTCAAGGTTCAATTATCCACCATATCTGTCCAATGGGTCCAATGGGTCCAAAGGGCTCTAGACACTACAATCAAGCGAATTATAAAGCGGGCCATGAGAATCAGACCACCAATTAAAAAATTCATTCCAGCATGCGATCTACCAACAGTGCTACACAGTTTAACTGGTGCACCATTTGAACCTATGGACTCATCATCCCTATGCGACTCGACATTGAAAAATGTATTTCTTATTGCTATCACATGTGCTAGAAGGGCTTCTGAACTACAAGCCCTTTCGTCTGAACCTCCATTAACCCAAATCTTGGAAGATAAGGCAGTTCTGAGATTGGTTCTATAATTTACTCCTAAAGTCCCCTCAAAATTCCATCTGAATCACAAAATTATATTACCATCCTTCTTTAAAAATACTTAATCTGAAGAAGAATTCTGTTGGCACACCTTGGATGTATATCTTGACTGAACCAAGGAATTTAAAAAGAAAAACGGCCTTTCGTGGTACCATTTGGTTACATTCACAGATAGATGTCTGCAATTAAGGAGGCTTACAAGATTACCGGAAATAAGGTACCAGAGGGAATAAAGGCTCATTCTACCAGGGCTGTCTCGGCATCTTGGGCTTCTTTGGCAGAGACTTTGCAGAGTGGCTGCCTGGTCTTCCTCCAACACTTTTGCAATTTACAGGGTCATCTGTCTCCTCTTTCCAGGAAGAAAGTACTTGATTCTGCCATTAATGTTTAAATTTATATTTGATTTGTATTCCCCCCCTGTTAGTAAACTTGGGAAATCATGTAGGTGATGCTGACATAGATTAGCCAGGAAAACAGAAACTTGCTACCATACTTACTATAATTTTTTTTTGCTAGATGCTGCAGGAGCCTCCTTATGTAATCAAAGTTTAATTTAGAGAACAGGAGATAAAATCTTTTAAAGTAAGTTATATCTGATTAAAAATGAAAACATTTTTTTTCATGCAGGCTGTGTCGCTCACAGCCAGGGGAGGTGTGGCCAAAACTGCATAAACAGAATCAAAAATGATTTAACTCCTAAATGGCAGAGAATTGAGCAGTGAGACTTTAGAATAAATCATGACACAGTGTAATATACCATGTGTTGTTGTTCATCCGAGGCTGTCCTTACCTAATTTTAAGACCTGCTAAGGAAGAGATAATTTTTTTATTATATTCTCGTATGTAAAGAACTTCAGCAAGCTAAAGTGCTTTAAAATGTTTTTAAAAAAATTCAAAAGGGCGTGCTTTCATTTTTTTTTTACTGTATATGACAGTGATGGCGAACCTTTTTGAGCCAGAGTGACCAAACTGCAATACTTGCCAACTTTTTTTCCTTAAAGTGCCAACACGCAATTAAACCTGAATACTGAGGTTTAAAGGGACACTCCAGGCACCCAGACCACTTCTGCCCATTGGACTGGTCTGGGTGCCAACTCCCACTACCCTTAACCCTGCAAGTGTAATTCTTGCAGTTTTCATAAACTGCAATATTTACCTTGCAGGGTTAAGTCCTCCTCTAGTGGCTGTCTACTGGACAGCCACTAGAGGACACTTCCGCGTTCATAGAACACGAAAAGTGTGCCATAAAGTCGCTGGACGTCCTCATGCTATGTGAGGACCTCCAGCGTTGCCGAAACCCCCATAGGAAAGCATTGAAAGCATTATTCAATGCTTTCTTATGGTTAGGGACATCGGCACTGGATACAGGTAAGCCACTGAAGGGGTGGGGGGTGGGAGGGAGAGGGGACCTGCAGGGCCAGGAAAACATTTTGTTTTCCTGGCACTGGAGAGTCCCTTTAAGTTTAGATAACACAACTCGTACAGTTGTCCCGAACTAATTAACAACTTTTGTTTTAAAAGAAGAACACAACAACAGAGAGTTCAATTATATAAATTTAAAATAATAATATTAATAGATAAAATTAAGCTTATATTTATTAGTATCTCCAACAAATACAATACATACACACACAGTCTGTGGAATACGTACACTGCTGAATACACACACACACACACACACAGACTGCTGAATACACACACACAGTCTGCTGAATACACACACACAGACTGCTAAATACACATACAGACATACTGCTGAATACACACACACAGTCTGCTGAATACATACACACAGTCTGCTGAATGCATACACACAGTCTGCTGAATGCATACACACAGTCCCAAAAGCCGTACTACACGACTACATTCGATAATGAACACTGCTGCCAGACTGATTTTCCTCTCACACCTCACCCCTCTGTCAGTCCTTACATTGACTTCCTCTATGCTACATGAGTCAATTCAAGGTACTAATTCACACCTATAAAGCACTGAACAACTCTAGCCCCTCTTAGATATAATTCACACCTATAAAGCACTGAACAACTCAACTTACATATAAGAGGGGCTAGAGTTGTTCAGTGCTTTATAGGTGTGAATTAGTACCTTGAATTGACTCCTGTAGCATACAGGAAGTCAATGTAAGGACTGACAGAGGGGTGAGGTGTGAGAGGAAAATCAGTCTGGCAGTAGTGTTCATTATGGACTGTAGTGTTCATTATAGATATAAGAGGGGCTAGAGTTGTTCAGTGCTTTATAGGTGTGAATTAGTACCTTGAATTGACTCCTGTAGCATACAGGAAGTCAATGTAAGGACTGACAGAGGGGTGAGGTGTGAGAGGAAAATCAGTCTGGCAGTAGTGTTCATTATGGACTGTAGTGTTCATTATAGATATAAGAGGGGCTAGAGTTGTTCAGTGCTTTATAGGTGTGAATTAGTACCTTGAATTGACTCCTGTAGCATACAGGAAGTCAATGTAAGGACTGACAGAGGGGTGAGGTGTGAGAGGAAAATCAGTCTGGCAGCAGTGTTCATTATGGACTGTAGTGTTCATTATAGATATAAGAGGGGCTAGAGTTGTTCAGTGCTTTATAGGTGTGAATTAGTACCTTGAATTGACTCCGGTAGCATACAGGAAGTCAATGTAAGGACTTCACAGATCCATAGGTATGTCCCTTTTTGGTCTCTCCGCTCTGCCCGTGACGACCTCCTGTCTGTTGTCCGCACCCGTTCGGCCAACTCACGCTTGCAGGACTTCTCTGTGTGGAGCATTGCCATGGTAACACGCGGCAACGCTCCACAGAGATAGCTCACAGGAAGACAGGAGAGTTACTGCCTAGATCCCTCCCCATGCCTCCGGACACAGAAGCAGGGTAGGCGCCTTCGGTTTTGGGTATGCAGGTGCCTACTCTGCATTGATGCAGACAGCGGCCCCCTCCCCTGGCGACCTATGGCCGTGTGCCCACAGAGAGGGCCCAGTGTGCCACCTGTGGCATGCGTGCCATAGGTTCGCCATCACTGGTATATGACATGCCAAGCAAGATAAGGCCACTAGGGGTTAAAGTGATGGTTATCATTTTTATTTTTTTTCAGATCACCAGTTACAATAAATAACAAATAAATAACAGCTAAATAACAGCTACTGAATAAATATTGTTATATATTTTGTTAATGATTTATAAAGATAATTCACAAGCAGATTTGTGCATTGTAGTCTTCTTTTGCTAGGTCGTTCCCGTTTCCATAGTTTAGCGGATGGTTGTCTTGTTCAAATCCCCATGGAAAATATCTGTTATTTTGTATCGAATTAACTGCACATGTGTGGTTAAAAATCACTTTCTTTGATAATGGCCACTTCTCATTCAAAAGAAACTATAGTCATAATCAGCATATAAAACAAATGACTAATGTAAGATGGTGTTTTTATTACATATTTTATTAATGCCAGATGGCTACGTTTGATGAGTCTGTTACATTTTTACATTTATGTGTAGCATATTTTCGAGAAACAGTATTTTCAGACATTGCGTTCTGTACATAGACAATAAAATTATAGCAGCTTTGTCATCTTTCAGATGGTAAAAACAATCCAAAAATAGAAAACACCGTATTGGGAAAATATGGCTATATCACAATGGTATGAAGTATCCCGCTTTTGTAGACTTTCACTCACATCATCCCTAGACAGCTAAGAACTACCATATGATCATGGATCATATTGGTTATAAGCCCAGGGGAACTAGATGCTTCATTCCCCCTAATATTTAGAGAGAGATTCTGTAATGTTATAGTATGAAATGTACATTTTATTACAGTTTTATTCAGATCTATTTTGTCCATTTTTGTAATGTGTATTTTTGTTTTATTAACCAAATCTGCGTGTATGCAGTATATTAATATTTATGAATAGGATTAGTAATAATTTGAATCTTTTTTTCTATGTCCGACATTATTATGGCATATTATTAAAGAATTTAAAAAAAAAATCACTGTATTTTTTATTAAATAATTTCAGCCATCTTGCCCATTAGATAAAAACAGAAATGTTCACTAGGAAAATGTATTTGGAGTCTATCCACTAAACTGTGAGTTGTGGTGGGTAAAAAGCTGGATAGTAAACATTTATACAAAAAAAAATAATAATTTGTTGATTTTGCGTAATCCTCCACTTCTAATGAACTGGATATTTTGTTTCTCTGTTAGCTATTTTAGCTTACATATTGCAAGTGTTTCCTTAGCACAGCACAGCTTGCCATTTAGTGAAATGACCATGCAATAAAATGTGTCAATTTCGACAGAATGTTCACAAAGAAATAATAGCTTATCAAACAATAAGTTTCCATGTTCAGCCATTGTACGATTTATTAGTTGCTATGTTACAGAAATTAGCACATGGTTACAGTACTGCAGAAAATAATATTCAGGATTTTAAGCAAATAAAGCTGCCTTCTTTATTATCTTTTCTACAATAAGATGTAATGGCTTCTTGACACACCATAAGCACAATTGTGACCACAGGCTCACTTGTGTCATTTTGTGTGCAGTAATGAAGCCTGACGAGCGGTCTCCTGCTTGCAGATAGCCGGCTGTTGTCCTAAAAATGCAAACCATTGCCTCGGGCCATAGAATCAGGAACAGGCTAAGGACAGTGGCACAGTCAGGCCTCCCCACAGTTATCCTCCCTTTAGCACACTGTAGTCGAAATCAGAAGCATGGTGTTTACCCTTGTACATAAGGACAAAATCTGAAAATAATAAATATATAAACAATTTCAAAAAGACGAGGTTTGAAAGAAAACAGATTTTGGTAACTAGCAGTGCTGACATTCAGGGGGGAAAAGACGTCTGTTAAAAACTAGGATATCCGCTGTTTTCTTTTCCCAACAAAACAAATGTTTTAGGATGTAAAATCTGCTACTTTCACACTTTTTTTTTTAATGGAAAGAACATCACAGGAACAGTCTGATCTCTTTAACTAATGGCTCATTGGTATTCCATAGTGGGATAGGTGGTTCACATCCTCTACAGAACAGTCAGATACATAACATGCTGTCAGGGACAACTCTATATTTTAGGGTTACAAAAGAAAGACATTTTCTCTTTGGGAATTAAATGCCGTGGGAAGCTTTGCAGTGAATGTACACAAATAGCTTACAGTATAAAGGCAGCTACTTCTGTGCACAGTAGTCAAACATAGAGAACCCTCCTAAACCAGAATTTCTAATTACCTTATTCTAGTAATAATGTTCAGGGTTTTCCTTGGGGTTTAATGGATCAAGACTGAAATTCTGCAGAATCAAAAAAGGAAATTAACAACAAAAAATAGGTTCCTGTAACAAAACCACATTTATCGGGCATTAAAAAAAATATACAAAATAATATTATATGGGGATTTGTAAGCAATGTTTTTTTTGTATACCAATAAAAATAAAAAAGTCATATTTTCAAATATTATATATTGTTTAGAATGTACGTATTGTTTAATCCTCCACAATACGGTAGTGAACAGTTAGTTAGAGAATCTATAATAAACTATTAATATTACAGCAAAGTTATCATATAGACATCTTATGAAGGATTTTTTTCAGGTTAAGATAATTTCTATTTCAGAGAGAGAGAGAGAAAGAGAGAAGGGGAGAGAGAAATGTATTGTTGCAAAACATATATTATGGGAAAATATTGCCACACATAATTAAGAATGTCTTCGTAACCTCAAGATGACATTATTGTCCTCTAAAAAATGCTTTGTTACGTAGCTTTCATATTATACAAAGCTAGGATTAGTGTAGGTATGTTAGTTTTGTTCTAGGGGTCTTTTCCTCTAAGTCGATACTAGTACATTCATGTCCCCATCTGCCTGAGATAAGTGGGAGTCAGCCAATAGGAGTGATGAATTTAAATGCAGCAGCGGCATATAGCAGCTATTATGCAAGATTATAACTCCTTCAAGGGAACTCCCACACTGTGTGGTGGTATACCCTTGAGAAGACGGGTTACTACCGCCTAGGATGTCCCTTCCTAGTAAATACAGCACCAAACTGATTATACCCTCCTGCACTAAGTACCGCTGTTTCACCTAAACACTAGTCAACACTTAGTGAAGGGTGAAGAAGAACTGATTTTATTAGGGTAAAGCACAACAATTTATACACAGACTACCAGCATGGGGTCATTCTTCAGAAAGACACAAGCTTGCCCAGGCGTCTCTGTGTTTGCGAGATAATTAAGTCAGCTCCCGGTTAAACTAATTATCTTCCGGACACAGGAAGTGCGCAACAGAAATTCCCCCCAAATACATGTAATATAATGGAGAACCCCCACATGCCATACATATCCAGAAAAATCTCTCTGTAGCTCCCATTCTGTCCATAAAGCACCGAGATCGGTTATGACTAGCCTGAATAAGATAGAAGTCCAAAGTTCAGCAGGACGTGGCTAGCCTCTGATCCCGTGCAGGGTTCCAGAGTGCTGGGTAAAGATCCCTGGTCACCTAAAAACACAGCACTTTCAAAACACTGCCTCGACAAGCTGATGGGATCTGGCCAGCATTACCCCATTTATATCACAGAGCACCCATCTGGACACTTATGCAGTGTCAACCACCTGAAACTCCAGACTTTGTTTTTTGCATCCCACATCATCCCTAGTTAGGAAAATGTTAGTTTTGCATATGGTTTGAAGTTCATTATATTTTATTTTGCAATTTATACATTAATTTTAGTTCACAAGGACTCACAAATGCCGTACCCCGCCCATGCTTCCACCGGCACAAAGCCGGACTCGCTCCTCCCCCTGACTCACTATGCAAGGTAGATGACTAGCCCATAATAGTGGAGCACAGAGGCATCCATATGCTCAGGTCACTGCTTGCTACCCCAAGCCACTACTCTCCTACCGGGCTGCAGTCCAGCCGGGTAGCGGGCAAGCAGCTCCCTTACATGTCTCACACTTAAAGTACTAAACGTCTGGTAGCCAACTCTAAAGTTGTACACAAAGACCTTGGGTGGTGGGAACCACATAGATGACCCCCACCTGTTCTACATGAGCATACTCATGTGCACTTAAAGCCCATCCAAACCAGGGTCCCCCAATATCTTGCCTAAATC